TTCCCCATTTAAGACGTTCATATTTCCCGGTTAAAAAAGCCATATTGAGAAAAGCCATTAAGATATTTTATTAGGTTTAATAAATAAAAATTCTATGATTGTGAACAATTACATAAATTTTAATGTTGAGCTGTACTCTGTGCTGACCTACCTGCCATCAAAATGATGAGAATGAGTAGCCCACTGCTACAGATCAACAATCCTTAAGTATCGGCCAACACCAAATAGCAGTACAAACTCTTAACTACAGAACTTACAAATCCTGATATTTATACAATCACACTTTTTAAATATTCTTATTTTGGTAAAATCTTTGTTCTAAATCATAAATAAAACATATTCAGCTTGACTGAATGGCATTTACTTGTTGGATTATACATACATACATACGTACATACATATATATGCGTGTCTGTGTGTTTATATACACACACATATATATATATATATATATATGATTGAAACATACTTAATAGCATGATATACCTCCACAAGCATGAATACCAGCTTCGATTTGGCACGGACTGGACAAGTTTCTGGATGTAGGCGACATCAATGTTAAGCCACTCTTGCATCAAAGAATTGCGTGGTTCGGCCAGATGTCATGGATGCCTCCCCTGGCATCTTACTCGTTGTTCAGTCACATTTGCAGCCCTGTGAATGTGAGAGTTGTCATCTTGGAATAGAGGGATAGGAATGTTATGTTTCTCGGTAAGATGATGAGCAAAAGGCAAAACCTGGTTGTCCAGCAGCTCAATGTAGGCATTGTGGTTCAGATTTACTGTCACCTCAACCACAAGGACACATTCCGCATAATTTAAACACCCCCAGAACATCATAGAGCCTCCTCCAGCTTGAACCACACCTTGCACACAGTCCTCATTGAATGAAGGCTTCCTGAGGCCCACAATGCACTTGACGGCTGGTAGAAATGAGATTCATCTGACCAGATAACACGTTTCCAGTCATGAACAGTCCAGTTTTTGTGTCTCTTCGCCCACTGAGACCGGGCAACTTTGTAAGCAGAAGTGAACAAAGGCCTCTTGCATGCCACTCTGCTCTGTATGTCGATGGTATGCAGTACCCTACAGAGAGTGTTCTTTCAGAGACTGGTTGTGAAGGACATGCGTTGACTTCTAGAAGCAATTCTTGTAAAATGTAAATGTAAAATATTTTTATTGTGCAAAATAGTGGAAACAGAACTGAATAATATACAGATAAACCTGTGGTCTGTACATGTATGTATGCAGCAGCTTCTTCTCTCCTCAAAAACATGTCTGTTTATTCTGTTTTATGTGCTGCTCTCGTTTAACAAAGTGATTTGTAAATGCTGTTGTGTTTATTTGATATGTAAAAATGAACTAACAAAACAGAAAATGTATATATTTTTGTTTAGTTTGTTTCACAAGTTATATTTTAGAACAAGTAAACACAAATAGAAATGTGTGTTTTACTGTTTCTCTTAAACAATTCATTTGTTTGTTCTAAGCGCTTACTGATCCAAACTGCTTTGAAGCCTCATGCATCTTTGACACAGTGACAGGAATCACGGTAGCTCACAGAAAGCTCCAATTCTATGAGCTGATATTTTGAAAACATAATATTTTAAATTATTTTTAATTTAATTTTTTTTTGCCTTGTTAATTAGTTAACGAGTTAAATCATGTGTGCTGGATGAAAGAAAGCACAACATTTGCATACTATAGGTTGTAAGGATCAGGATTATAGGAACTCCAGCCTTAAATTCCACTAATTTTACAAAATCTCTGTATAATGACATAGTTAAGATGTAGACAATGTCATTCTGAGTGGTTCTAGAGAAATCTACTGATTCAGAATTATTCACAGTGGTGGTGATGGGAACCAGACATCTGAGGAGTTCAGTGCAGGTGTTCCCAACCCCACCCTGTGAGCATTTCTGTGCTTTGTCTCATCAAGAACACCTGATTCAACTCATTAACAAATTAACAAGGTCACTGTTTGTTGGGTCAGGTGTGTTAGAGCAGGGCAGTGGTCACTATCCCTCCTCCAGGAGATCTACTTTCCTTTTTTTTGTTCCAATTAGCATCTAACTGCCTCATTCTGAGTGTGTGATTCTCTTCAACAGGTGACGGTAAGTAAGTCTCTTCCTCCTGATTTCCTGCAGTTATATAAAATTATTTCAATTAATAGGACTTCAGGATTTCAACTACACTTAAATGGTCACTGAGAGCTGTGTGTGTGTGTGTATGTGTGTATTGCTTGACTGTAAAAGCATCAACTTGATCAACTTGGTGAGTACAAATGTGTTTACTGTGGAGTTTAGCTCACAATTATTTATTTTAAAAATTAAACAATTAGTTATGTTAATTAAAGAGGTAGCAAACATCTATTGACATAGATTGACAAGACATGTATTAGCTTTAAACATAATTAGTTACATTAATTAAACAGTTAGCAAACATCTATTATTAACATTAGCTTTTACTGCATAATTAACTAAACTGTATTTAGAGTTATTCATAATTGGTATATTAACATTACTTATAAGACACATAAGCTGTTGCTCTGTAATTAACTGAGTATAAACTAATCAGAAATTAATTTAGTTCTCACTAAGTGTGAATATATTAGCCATTATAAAAGGGATAGTTCCGGTCCTAAAATCTGATTGGTTGAGCTGCGTTCGAAGCCGTGGTAAAATCCACAATATACAGCGGGTGAAATAAGTATTGAACACGTCACCAATTTTCTACGTAAATATATTTCTGAAGGTGCTATTGACATGAAATTCTCACCAGATGTCGGTAACAACCCATCCAATCCACACATGCAAAGAAATCAAACCATAGATGTCCATAATTAAGTTATGTGTAATAATGAGAAATGACACAGGGTAAAAGTATTGAACACACTTACTGAAATTTATTTAATACTTCGTACAAAAGCCTTTGTTGGTGATGACAGCTTCAAGACGCCTCCTGCATGGAGAAACTAGTCGCATGCATTGCTCAGGTGTGATTTTGGCCCATTCCTCCACACAAACACTCTTCAAATCCTCAAGGTTTCGTGGGCTCCTTCTATGAACTCTGCTTTAGTTCCTTCCATAGATTTTTAATTGGATTCAGGTCAGGTGATTGGCTGGGCCATTCTAGCAGCTTTATTTTCTTTCTCTGAATTGAGAGTTTCCTTGGCTGTGTGTTTGGGATCATTGTCTTGCTCAAATGTCCACCCTCGTTTCATCTTCATCACCCTGGTAGATGGCAGCAGATTTTTATCAAGAATGTCTCAGTACATTTGTCCATTCATCCTTCCTTCAATTATATGAAGTGTGCCAGTGCCGTATGCTGAAAAACAGCCCCACACCATGATGTGCCCACCTCCAAACTTCACTGCTGGTATGATGTTTTTGGGGTGATATGCAGTGCCTTTTGACCTCCAAAGATGGTGTGTATTATGGCATCCAAAGAGTTCAATTTTGGTCTCATCTGACCAGACTATATTCTCCCAGTATTTCACAGGCTTGTCTAAATGTTGTCGAGGAAAAATTAAACGCGCTTCAACATGCTTTTTCTTCAGCAATGGAGTCTTGCGTGGTGAGCATGCATACAGGCCATGGCGGTTGAGTGCATTACTTATTATTTTCTTTGAAACAATTGTACCTGCTGATTCCAGGTCTTTCTGTAGCTCTCCACAAGTGGTCCTTGGCTTTTGGACAACTCTTCTGATAATTCTTTTCACTCCTCTGTCTGAAATCTTGTGGGGAGCACCTGGTCTTGGCCAGTTTATGGTGAAATGATGTTCTTTCCACTTCTGGATTATGGCCCCAACAGTGCTCACTGGAACCTTCAGTAGTTTAGAAATTCTTCTGTAACCAGTGCCATCAGTATGTTTTGCAACAATAAGGTTGCGAAGGTCTTGAGAGAGCTCACTGGTTTTACCCATCATGAGATGTTTCTTGTGTTGCACCTAGGTAATGAGACAGCTTTTTATAGGCCATCAGTTGAACCAGCTGATATTAATTTGCACAGTGGCAGGATTGCTTTCTAATTACTGATAGATTTCAGCTGGTGTCATGACTTTCCATGGCTTTTTGCACCTCTCTTTCTTCGTGTTCAATACTTTTTCCCAGTGTCATTTCTCATTATTACACATAACTTAATTTATGGACATCTATGGTTTGATTTCTTGCATGTGTGGATTGGATGGGTTGTTACCAACATCAGGTGAGAATTTCATGTCAATAGCACCTTTAGAAGTATGTTTACATAGAAAATTGGTGATGTCTTCAATACTTATTTCACCCGCTGTATGCACATCTACGACTGCCTCACAACAACTGAACTCTGTATTACTGCCACAGCACAAATAACCCTTGTGCTGTTAATGGAATAATGAAGCTGCTCGCATGGACCACCGAGTATATGGATAAAGTAAGAACCCGTTTTTTTGTTTAAACTGAGGGGCTGGCAACTATTAACTTGAACTAGGCTGGTCAGCTAGCTAGCTAGCTAATAGGCTAAAAGATAGCCAAAAGCCCGAACAATTCCATCCTTAATATCACAGGCTTTGAATTAAAGTACTTATGCTATGATTTTTTTTGGGGGGGTTTTTTACCCAATTTTCTCCCCAATTTAGTTGTCTCCAATTCCACCCGCTAGTTAGGACTCCCCCAGTCACATGATAATATCAACACAGGGATTTCGGCTTCCTCTGAGACCTGTGAAGCCAGCTGCCGCATCTTTTCGAACTGCCGCTCACGCAACGTCATTGGACAGCTGAACGCGCTGGAAGGAAAGCACCAGCCGCCAAATCTGTTACGTCAGCTAACAGACGCCTGTGCTGACTAGCATCGTGCTGCATGATGGTGGGAGAAGGGGGGGCCATCCTGCCCACCCAGACAGTGAGACCAATTGTGCTCTCTTGGACTCCTGGCCACGGATGGCTGTAGCATCACCAGTGATTGAACTCACGTTCTCCTGATGATAGGGCCAGCGCTTAGACGGTGGCGCCACTCGGAGCGCCTTACAATATGATCATGATCACGAAGGTGGTTCACCCAGGGCGAGGCTCTGCTGTTGCACTTCAGTTGTGCTCACCTTTACAAATTTCCCAAATACAGAAATCTCGACTGCATGATTTCTGGTAGTGGGGGACTGCATTCACGCTCTCTCCTGACAAACTTGAGTTACAACAACAAAACTGAAGTGCATGTTTCTGCGGTGCAGGCTGTGAGCTCAGCCAGCGGCCTGTGTTTCGGGGGGGTTGGTTGCGAGTTGCTCAACGCGCAATCGCTTTTACAAGTCGGCTACATCTTTCAAATGCTGCGAAAGGTTCTGTGGCCTACTGTCTGGCACCACATGTCTGCGTGCTGGCCAGGAAGTCATCACACGCTGGCCTACTGCACTTATTCTCCCAGCCAAATGGCACAGCTGCAGGGGTTTGTTCTCGCCCTCTGAGGTGTAGGAAAGTCCTCTGCCACAGCTCACCATTTGTCCTTGCCTATTTCACTCATGCTTTCTTTGATGCTTCTTCCAGAGTGCCTTTCTGCGCATTTGCATGTGTACAAAACATGACAGCCATGCATGCTGTGGGATCACCACTGCCTGTGAGACACATGGTGTCTATTGAGACCAAAACGCAAGGGGGCTCACCTTTGTGGCCGTGGAATATGGCACTCAGAGCCCGACGCGACTCAGATACCTGCCCTCTCGCAGAAAGCCTTGCATGGACACGGCGGGTATGGGGGCAAGGCAGGCTAGGGAGAACGTGCACGCTATGTCAGCACATATATTAAAATTGGAGCAAATGCTCTGCCCATAAACACACATTAAATATTGAAACGCTAGCCTACTTGCACTTTCTGTCATGCAACACTTGTTGGTTTTATGTTGGGGTTAAATTGGGTTGGGCATGATTATACCTTTGGTTCATGTGAATTGCAAACTGAACTGCGCTGTAACTTGATGGTAATGCAAACTGTGACATCCATTTAATTATCCAAAGTAATAACCCATGCTGACAGACAACTATTCAGTTTGTTTTTTAGTTTGTGGCACACACTTTCAGTTTGTAGCACAGTACCATGATGTTTTAGCTTAACCTAATATACCTAAATTAAAAACATTTGTCAATTATGCCTTATCATTAGTAGCCTACATAATTTGTCACTATTTGAATCGAAAGCAATTCCAAAACATCTTGACACATAAGTCATGACTAAGAAAGCAAAATCAAAAGCAGTTGTTCTGTAGACCTATTTCATAGAACTGGGTTTTATGAAATTTGATAGCCTTTTATAACTATGATGTTTTGCTGGATGATGTTACTAGACGATGTACTTAAGGTCACACATTTGCACCTAGCTAGACAGCTAACAGTGTGTGTAGACTACTATTGCTAATAAGCTCCATCAGTTTAGCAGTTAAGTTGGTTAATGACTGGGGTTTACAGTAATTTGAGAAGAATGTTTCCAAATATCACAAACTGTTCTAACCACCATAAGACAGAAATATTTAGTAGGCATCCAGAAGAAGCTCTGGTAGCAAACGTCACCTGATACTCTCCCCATTGACGCATCTTACAGAAAAATTCAGAAAAATAACACCACTGCTTTGAGTGTGGAAAGAGTTATTGACAGGCATAAACTACGAATTCACCAGCTCATTCATACAAGAGAAAAACTGAATCAGTGTTCCCTGAATGTGGGAAATGTTATACACTGTTAGAAGTAAGAGTACTATGTAGGTACATTTTTTGTTCATCAAGGTACAAACAATGTAAATGTTCCCTCAAAGGTACAACAGTGGTTTTAAGGTCTAATTGTGTACTCTAAACATGTTTTTCCCAGGTGAAAAGCATGCATGTGTACCTTTTCATAACCTAATGTTTTAAAACAGAGCAATAAAATTAAAAAACTTGGAGAGGAGACGGGGTGTGTGAAGTCAATTTAATGTGGAAAATATCATTTCAGTGGATAATGGTACATTAGTGTTCTTTGACTAAAGGTACTGAAATGTATCCTTGAGGGTATCACCTCGGTGACAAGAAGGGTACTGCCCCAGTGACAGTTTAGTATCTTTATTTCTGAGAGTGTACAGTGACAATTTACGCAAATTTTTGGTCTGCACTTCGGTCAAGTTACAGTTTTGTTGTAATTTTAAGTGAAAACAAGTTAACACATCCTCTACTGAGAACACATTTTAATAAGACATAATTCAACAAAATTTACTGCACAATTTCTAATCTTGTTCAACATCTTGCGGGGAAAAATATGCCATAGCATATATTTTCTTTTCCCCCTGAATATGTTAAATTTAGCAAATAATAATTGTGCATTTAAATGTGCATATGTGTGTTCTCTTTACAGCATGTTTGCTTATTTTCACTTCAGTAAAATATGTAATTTGACCTGGAGCATGCAAACTTTTGCATATGTTTTCTTTGTGAACAACTTGATTAAACACAGCACACTTTGGAGAAGTGCCAATCTGGTGCTAGAGTTTCAGATTTAAATAGTTGAACCATCTCATTTATTCTGGAAATAAAAATGAAATGAGACAAATAGGCCAAATAATAAATTATACAGCACAAGGCACAGAACGGCTACATTTTCTAGAAATTTTAAAGAACAAAAAACAAGGAAAGTACATCCTCACAAAAACCACAATTAAATGGCAGTCAGAAACAGTAAACTAGGCAGTGTGAAAAGCGGCAGCGCTTATGATGAAATGATCAAGATCTGACAAAACTGAGCTGCATGAGTAGGTTTTTATATGCCTGACAATACGCCATAAGTCCAGGAATCAAATAGGCAGGAATCAGTGTCAGCTCTTGATCTGCGACTCACACTAGTGCATGGGTCCCAAACTCAAAATACTTGGGGCCCAATAGGTAGGTAGCCAATATAATATAATATTGTTCATCCCCATAGTTACAGAATAATAAGCCTTAGAATGTAATAAGCCTGGTTCCCTAACTAGCCAGATAGCCGGTTAGCAGTGCTACTTGGTAAGATGGCTAGCCTGTATGAGAAACTTTAGTAAAGTCCAGTTTTCTACAGTTCTAACACAGTTACATTTAGGAGGCTTAATGCAACATGCAAAACATAGTAGATGTGAGTATAAGGCATTTATGAGGGTCGCCTGGAATGTGCCCCAGTTTTGCTCAGTTCTTGAGGCAGGTGGCAGGTTAATGTGGGAGCTCTGGTAAAAAAATATATATATATATTCCAAATGAGTTTATGAAATATATTTTTGCAATGTATAAAAAAGGTGAAAAAAGGGCTCCCGAGTGGCGCAACCGTCTAAGCGTTGGCCCTATCATCAGGAGATCGCGAGTTCGATCCCTGGTGATGCTACAGCCATCCGTAGCCGGGAGTCCGAGAGAGCACAATTGGCCTCGCTCTCTCTGGGTGGGTAGGATGGCCCCTCCTTCTCCCCCCATCACTCAGCGCGATGCTAGTTGGCGCAGGCGTCTGTTAGCTGACGTAGCAGATCTGGCGGTTGGCGCTTTCCTCCGAGAGCATTCAGCTGTCCAGTGACGTTGCGTGAGCGGCAGTTCGAAAAGATGCGGTGGTTGGTTTCACAGGTCTTGGAGGAAGCCTGTGTTAGCCTTCACCCTCCTAGCGTTGATAGCATCGTGTGATTGGGGGAGTCCTAACTAGCGGGTGGAATTGGAAACGACTAAATTGGGGAGATAATTGGGTAAAAAAAAAAAGGTGAAAAAATGTATTTGTTAAATAAATAATAATGCATTTATTTGTATTTATTATATTTTTTTCAATTGTATGTCATTTTAACAAAGATTACAGATATAACTAAATATACATGAACTGACTTCTGTGTTTTGTATCGTACTGTGCATTAACTACTGTATGTATGTGGTAAGACAGCAATAATACACAATATAAACAAAATATCAAATCATCAAACTGCTTTTGCACAGTGTGTCAACAACTACAACACAATTAGTCATGTTTAGTACTTTGTTGCATATCCTTTGCATGCAATGACTGCTTGAAGTCTGTGGCTTACAGACATCACTAGGTGTTGAGTATCTTCTCTAGTGATGCTCTGCCAGGCTTGCACTGCAGCCATCTTCAGCTCCTGCTTGTTTCTGGGACTAGTCCCCTAAAGTTTTTTTAGTATATGAAAGGCACACTCAATGGGATTCAGATCAGGTGACTGAAGTGGCCAGTCAAGCATTTTCTAGTTTTTATCTTTGAAAAAAATTTTTGCTGTAGGATGAGCTGTAGGATGCCGTCCAATGAGTTTGGAGGAATTTTCTTGAACTTGAGCTGGTAAGATGTTTCCAGTCACCTCAGAATTTGTTTTGCTATGGCCATCAGCAGCCACATCATCAATGAAGATGAGTGAGCCAATCCCTGTGGCAGCAGGCCTGGGCCATAAAAGCCCTGCCACCATTCCTTTTCACCTCCATACTTTACTCTTGCCATTGCAAGAGCTTTTTGCTACTTTGCTAAAGTACTTTTTAGCACACTGTAACCTGGTCATCCTAACTAGTGGTTTGCATCTTGCTGTGTAGCCTCTATATTTATGTACACAAAGTCTTCTGTGGACAGCAGTCACTGACAATTCCACATCTCCCTTCTGAAGAGCGTTTGTTTTTATTTATTTCACAGGGACAATGCAGATAAACATTCTTACTTAAAATGCAGCATATTTAATCGGGGTGGAAAGAGTACTGAAAATCCCTACTTAAGTAAATGTGCTCTTACTGTAGTGATAATTTACTTGAGTACAAGTAAATACAACTTAATAGAGGAAATTACTCAAATAAGAGTAAAAAAGTAGTTTGCTGGAAAACTAATTGAGTGATTAAGTTACTTTTTTGTATATCCGCAAACACAGTCTGAAAATATTTCTGATTTGAATTGACTGCATCATTGGAAATAATCTGTACAGACAAAACTAAGGGAAAACATGATTATATGTCAGAAAAAAAGTCCTGAGACTGATCACAGTATGCTTAGCTAGTGCATTTACACATCTCTCTTTGTACTCTGTAAGGAACATGGTTTACATTAAACTACATGCACATCATGTTTAGATGATTAAATAAGGCTTCCTTGTTTATCTGTGTCAAACAAAGTAGTTTAGAATTCCTGAAAGGCTGTGCAGAGTTTATGTTTAATCAAGTCTAAAAAAAAGCCATC